CTCAAGAAAATGCACTTAAAAAAATAGACAGTTTTACCATGACAAAGCTGTTTTCCCTCGTCTGTTTCTTCCCTGTCCGAGGTGCCTTTTACGGTACATTATATAAAAACTCTCATAACCATCTATGAAAGCTGTATATACTGGATTTTTTTCATGTTCGTGGTGAGAAATTGATCCAACAGTGTCATCGTGACCGTTTTCCATTTTGAGGGAAAAAAAAAAAATTTCGCCCCCAAAAAATCCCTGTTCAGCATTTTTCACCATTTTCAGCTAGATTTTCAAAATTCATTAAAATCACACCAGGCATACTATTTTCTATGCTGATTCAGAATATACACTTGAAAATGTAAAATGAGAATTTTAGCATCATACAAGGCCTTAACCCTTTGACTGTCGCAACCCCCAATCCTGGTGTCGCAAAATTTAAAAAAAAAAAAATTATTTTTTCTTATGAAATGATAGAGAATCTTTTCCCGATTGTAATGACACCAAAAAAACGAAATTTGATGGAAAACTGACGGAATTATCCTCTCGCGAAGTTAGCGACCTCGGCGATATTTACAAATCGGCGATTTCGCCCACTTTGAGCCCTATTTTCGGCTAATTCCATTGTTCCAGTCGACCAAAATCATAGCTATTTCTTTAGAACTCCATTTTTTCTATCGATTGAATACAAGAAACTGCCCATTTACCGATTTCAACTACCCAATAATGTGGTCAGAAATTTGCAATTTGGCCAATTTCACGAAAATTAAAAAATATGACAATTTCAAAATAAGGTCCAGAATGAACAATGCAGACATTCCTGGCTCTAAAATAACATTTTCTTTGTTCATCAGTCATGTCTCCAGGCCCCTCTGATATTACTCTTGCTTTCTATTTTGAATTTTTATTCAAACAAAATATAGAAGACTTACTATTATGCAGACTACTGCAATACTGTAATAATTGTATAAATAACATCAACCCATTCATGACTGCATATCAGAATAGCTAGTTGGACATTTATTGGACAATGACATCATTTGTTTACTTTTGAACATTGGCAAAAATCAAACATTTTCCCTACTTTGAGCTCCATTTCCAGGTTCTTTTTATAGTAAAATCAATCAAAATCACCTCTACTTCTATAATATGTTTTCCATTCTATCAAATGAGACCAAGAAAATGAGAATACAACCATAAATACTATACGAAAATAAACCACAAAGTCGGCATTTTAATTAAAAAAAATGGTCGGAGTTTTTTTTTCTCATTATGCACTGGGTGCTCCAGGATTTTTTTTTATATGGTGCACACTGACCACACAGACACATTCTCTCACATGTGAGCCTACCAGCTTTCTCCTGCTTGATTTGAAGCCGCTAGAATTTATGAGTATACATGTATATACATCAAACATGGTACCTCGTAAGACGTATATATACGGCTGCGACAGTCAAAGGGTTAATTATAATATGCCAAATATTATTATTTTGGCCATCTTTATTATGCTTTTATCTTATGTCTGTTATTTTTTAATAAATGGTATAGGCAGATAAAGTGTATTACTAATAATAGCTTCAGTACAGGACATTTTGTGGCCGATGACCAAACAACTGACGAAGCAATTCTTGTCCCTGCCTCTCTTCTTGACTCCTCCTACTATGCTATAGCTCCTCCCACACTGTAATGCTGTTCAGTGGTAAATTTAGCATATTAGAAAGGAAAATAGACAAACTAGAAAAAAAAAAATCTAAAAATTCACCTCACGTTCACACAAATTTACGTGGCACATCATCACAAGACATGTTCAAACAGCTATAATTTGCTTAAGAAACATCGTATTACAATGGGATTTTCACCAAAATGTTGACAGATTCTTAACCCTTTCAGGGTCGAGAGGCCCTCTCCTAAACTTGTTCTCAGGGTCGAAAATTTCTCGGAAAAAAATAAAAATAATTTTCTCTTGTGAAATGATAGAGAATCTTTTTCCAATCATAATGACACCAAAAGTTTGAAATTTGATGGAAAACTTACGGAATTATGCTCTCGCGAAGTTAGCGGTCGCAATGATGTTTATGCATCGGCGATTTTGCCCACTTTGAGCCCTATTTTTGGCCAATTCCAATTTATCAATCTACAAAAATCATAACTATTTAACCCTTAAATGGTCCAAACGTATATATACGTTTTTTCAACATCTGAAAGTATGTAAAAAATGTAGATCTTTTTTGTTTTACATTTGAAAACGTGTAAAAAAAACTTTTATCTACATTTTTTTTTTTTTGTTATATTTGAAAATATGTAAAAAAAAAGTAGATCTACTTTTGTAGCACTATGAATTTAAACGTCGATCTGTTTGGACCGTTTAAGAGTTAACTAGAACTCCATTTTTTCTATTTAATGAGTACAAAAACTCACCCATTTACCAGTTTCAACTATCCAATAAAGTGGTCAGAAATTGACAATTTTGCCATTTTCACACAAATTTCAAAACATGCCAATTTCCAAATAGGGTCCAGAATAAACAAGACAGACATTTCTGGCACTAAAATACCATTTTCTCTGTTCATTAGTCAAGTCCCCAGGCCCCTCTTACATTTCTTTTGCTTTCCACTTTGAATTTTTATTCTCACAAAAATTAGAAGATTTACTGTTTTGCAGACTACTGCATTAGTGTAGAAATGGTATACATAATATCAGCACACTTGTGAAAGAATATTAGACTCACCAGCTGACATGTATTGGACACGTGGCATGATTTGTTTACTTTTGAACATTGGCAAAAATCGAACATTTCTGCTAATTTGAGCTCAATTTCAAGGTACTTTTCATTGTGAAACCAATCAAAATCATTTCAATTTCTGTAATATGTCTTCCATTCTATAAAATGAGACCAGAAAAACTAGAATACAACCATAAATACCATACGAAAATATGCTGCAAAGCCACCGTTTTAAACCAAAAACACGGTCAGAGTTTTTTTTCTCATTATGCACTGTGTGCTGCAGGATTTTTTTTATACTGTGCACAATGGCCACATAGACCCATTCTTTGATATGTAGGCTTACCAGCTTTCTCTCGCTAGATTTGAAGGCGCTAGAATTTACGCATACTAGTACGGCATCAACCCTGGCATGCAAGCCGTACTAGTATGACACTGACCCTGAAAGGGTTAAATTATTTTTCTGTAAACAAAACTCATTTTCCATATATTTCCATTTACGTATTTTCTTATCCGCACACCGTGTAGGGTCACCTGTCCCTTAACCTTTTAATTGTGGCAGGTTCTGCATTTTTATTTCCTGCTTGCGTGACAATTTAAAAGCCACAAAAATATCATTTGTTTTTTAGTCTGAAAGGGTCTATTTTTCTAAACAGAACTATGAAAAGACCTAGGTAGTACGTAGGTCGGTAGACAGCAACCGCCCAGGGAGGTACTACTGTCCTGTCAAGTGAGTGTAAAACAAAAGCCTGTAATTGTTTTACATGATGGTAGGATTGCTGGTGTCCATTTTTTGTCTCAAACATGCAAGGTTTCAAATACATCTTGCTACTTCTACTTACACTTAGGTCACACTACACAGACGTGTACAAGCATGCATGCATATATATATATATATTATATATATATATATATATATATATTATATATATATATATATATATATATATATATATATATATATATATATATATATACATACACACACATACACACACACACACACACACACACACACACACACGCACACACACACACACACACACACACACACACACACACACACACACACACACACACACACACACACACACACACACACACACACACACACACACACACACACCCCTCTGGGTTTTCTTCTATTTTCTTACTAGTTCTTGTTCATTTCCTCTTATCTCCATGGGGAAGTGGAACAAAATTCTTCCTCTGTAAGCTATGTGCGTTGTAGGAGGCGACTAAAATGCCAGGAGCAAGGGGCTAGTAACCCCTTCTCCTGTATAAATTACTAAAACTTTTGTTTTTCTTTTTGGGCCACCCTGCCTTGGTGGGATACGGCCAGTTTGTTGAAAAAAAAAAAAAACTATGAAAAGAAAAATTAAATCACAAGGAAACTTACAGTTTTGGGGTGTGTTGAAGATGGCAAACATTGATCATTTGTCAGCAACAGCAGTGTAAATGTGTATATCAGTACAATTTATTGATGCCAAATTATGATTTTGTCATTTTTTTGTTTTCTATGTCTTCCACTATGAACACTAGTTTCTTATGATAGTGTTTTATGTTACTACTCAGAACATGGGGATACTGTTTTATGAACATCATTGTAAAGAAATAATCAATACATTTCTACAACAGCAGTGTCTTTCTACTGTGGAAGCCCAGATTTCACTGAAACAATTATATTAGCCAGTGTTTACTGTTATTAATCACTTGTCTGAGCCACAATCTCCTTAAGTGTCTAACCAAAAAAATAACTGAAGCTAATAAAATTTATTAAAATCATCAACATGTTTTTATTTAGGTTTTTACAACTGTCTTCAGGGCACACAAGTGTTATTACAACATAAAAAGCACACTTGATACATTTAACTCAGAATAACCCAAGAAAGTCAAACGATATGACTTGCTGTCCCACGTTATTGGACAATGTGGCTAAATTCCACTGTTAGCATCACTCAACTGTAATAATTTTGGAATAAAGCATCAGTCTTCCAGTTCCACACTATGGAACTGAGCTGGCAACTGGCATGTCATAGAAAATTCACAATAAAAAGTCAAAGCTAGATGAGAAATAACTTAATAGTGAATCAATCAACAAGACAAAATTATTTCTCAATCCCTTCACAGTCAGTGCTTTACTTACCTAGGTACATTTCAAGAAACACAGTAAAAGAAAAATTAATGTGAAAATCCGAATTTGTTAGTACATGTGTGTACTTAACTTTTGCTCAACATGGAATAAACTAAATACAGAAATTTCTAATTTCAGTCAGTATACAGAGCACTGTACCTGTTTCCCACTCTGTTTGCTGGATTTGCTGACACTGGTGGTGGTACTGTTGCTGCTGTTGCTACTTGATTTTTTCTTCTTTGAAGGTGGCTTAGACAGTGAGCCTTGGGAGTTGGAGGACCCAATAGTAGATCCCTCCATGCTCAAACGTTTTCTGCAGCTTAACAAGGACCAGCAACTTTTAAAAGACTGCAGCTAGTGTCAGTTTGTAAATACATACTTTCATAATTAACACAGAATCTTTTTGTAAAACAAAATAAACCAAACAAATCTCAGAAGAAAAAAACCTGAGCATTTCTTCCAATATTTCTTAATGCTATACAGTATATTTTTTTTTATCAAGATTGGGACTGAAGCTCCATCAGTTAAATAAAAGTGAATAAAACCATGAAAAGCCAAAGAAAGTTCACAATTTTGAATTAATATAGTATTCACAAAACAAGAGCTAATTCCATACTAATAATGCAGCACTACTCAGTTGAATATTTTAATACATACAAAGTTTATTAAAGTCAACAATTGGTAACTATCTAATACCCATGTCAAAAACAGTACAATACAAGGATATGAATATGATGTGTATATGTATATATATACCAGTACTTAGTAGACAAATGGCTAAGTATTCTTATTTGAAATTTTAAATGTGCAGTGCAAATTAAAAATTTGAATTCTCAATATTTACCAAGGGTTTCACTAATTTACATTAACTCAGCTGTCTATTTTAGCTTTCAAAATCAGTGTGAGCTATTACTATAAGAATACAGTGGACCCCCGGTATTCGATGGCATCGGTATTCGATAAATCCGGTATTCGACGCATTTTAATGCAAAAGTTTTGCCTCGGTATCCGATTGAAAACCCAGTATTTGATACGATTCGTATGAGACGTGTCCACGTGTGGCCTGAACTGCCCTGTGTGTGCCAGTGTTTACAAGCCAGCCAGTGTGCGCGCATCTAAGGATACATTCGGTACATTCCATATTATCACTGTTTTTGGTGCTTGTTTCTGCAAAATAAGTCACTATGGGCCCCAAGAAAGCTTCTAGTGCCAACCCTGTGGTAAAAAGGGTGAGAATTAGTATGGAAATTAAGAAAGATTTTGAAGGGTTTGGGGTTAACCCTGAGAAGCCTATGCTAGTTGTGGAATCCATTGTGCCTACTTAAAAAATTAAGGAAATGTGTGCACAGTGAGTTGAACTGCAAACCTTTATGGATGAAAATCACCCTAACACAGCTATTGCAAGCCGTGCTGGTGACTATTACAATGACAATGTTGTGGCCCATTTTAGACAAATCGTAAAGGAACGGGAGGTACAGAGCTCTATCGACAGATTTGTTGTGCGACAGAGGTCCAGTGACTCTCAAGCTGGTCCTAGTGGCCTTAAAAGGAGGAGGGAAGTAACCCCAGAAAAGGACTTGCTACCTCAAGTCCTAATGGAAGGGGATTCCCCTTCTAAACACTAACACCATCCACACTCTCCCCTCCTCCCATCCCATCAATCACCAGATCTTCAATAAAGGCAAGTGTCATGTAACTGTGCATGTCTTTTTCAGTTTGTGTGTATTAAAATTTATATTTCATGTGGTAAAAATTTTTTTTTTCATACTTTTGGGTGTCTTGCACGGATTAACTTGATTTCCATTATTTCTTATGGGGAAAATTTATTTGCTTTTCAATATTTTCGGTATTCGATGAGCTCTCAGGAACTGATTAATATCGAATACCAGAGGTCCACTGTAATGCTAGAACACATGGACTGAATATTTAATTTACCTCTTTGCTTCTATCTTTGTATCAGTTTCTGTATCAGACTCTTCTGTTTGATCCGAGTCAGAAGAAGAGTCTGGGCCTCGTTGATACTGTAAAAGGCGATCAAGAAGGAAAGATTTGTCCCGTCGTACACGCAGGAGTGCTCTCTGGGCTTTTCGTAATTCCTCCTGGAAGCACTCATTTTCCTGTAGAAATTTGTGAAAAAATTATGATTGCTTTAATTCCTATAGTATTTTTATATAAAGGCAACTGTCAATTTCTCTATCTTAATAAAGTTTTAAAGAGTAAAATAACTATGTACATATATAAAAAAAAATTGAGCATAAATTAGAATAAATTTTTAAGTGACAGATTTGCTTAACATTATACCTGGGGTCAACAGCCCATGGCCCAGTTCATGACTAGGCCTTGTGGTGGCTCAGGGTCTGATCAACCAGACTGTTACTGCTGGCTGCACACAAACCGACACATGAACCACAACCCAGCTGGTCAGGTACTGACTGTAGGTGCCTGTTCAGCTCCCTCTTGAAGACAGCTTATTAGACATAATTAAACCAGTCAAGTCAATAACATTAATAAAATAAAAGCAAACATTACTTACATAAATAAGAAGTTTTAACTTTCTCTTCAGGGTCTTATACTTTGCTTTGTAATCTTCTGGGCCATCTGCCTGAACTGGCATCACGAAATCTGAAATTTCAACATTGATCGATATTCTACTGTCACACTTGAGCAAAGACAAATGATGTATATAGTCATAAAGCAGATCTGCCTCACTAAAAATACAGTAACTAAATTAGGAAGCCAAAATACTGAAGTTTAGAATCTTAGTATTCAGTTACAGGCTGGTATTCCCTGGCTAAAGTGAGAATTAAATTACAAGTGCTAACAAGGGTATCTGTAACATACCCATGACCAATTTGAGAGATTTTTTTCTGCCCTTACAGACTGATCTAAGTCCAGTCTTTCCTACTGAGTGCCTGTTCAACCAGGCTGTTGCTGTTGGCAGCTCAATGGGTCAAATAGCCATCACAAGCTGACTGATCTGACACTTTACAGAGGTAGTGATCCAGTTTCTTGAAGACTTCTATGGTTACAAGTTTATGTTAAATGTGATTACAGACCTAGCACAATTCACCACATTTTTTTAATTACATATCAGAGCTGGGACAGTACAATGGAAATAAGTCACTCTGACTTTATGAGGTTATCCTACATTTGATGAGTTTTGAGTCTTTACTACCAGAGCTTGGCCATGGTCCAGGCTAGGTAATTTACACTATGTATGATAATTACACTTATGTGTACCAGTGCCTAAATAAACATAATAATAATCTTTATTTCTACAAATACATGTACAACATTTACAGACCATAGCTGACATTAATGACATACTATATAGAAAGCCCCTGGCCATGCAGAACACTTTGGGCAAATTAGGTCAATTTTGACCACGGAATCATAATGGTTTGATTAGGTTAATTTTGTCACCGGGATGCAACCCACACCATTCGACTAACGCCAGGTACCTATTTTACTGATAGGCGAACATGGCAAGCAGGTGTCTCAAGGAAACACGTCCTAACGTTTCCACCTGTACCGGGGATCGACCCTGAACCTCAGTGTGAGATCCAAGTGTTGTAGCAATCCAGCTCTGGGACAGCTTTAAATAATAATATTTAATTTCTACAAGTACATATATGATACAACTTATAAATTATTATTATAATCAAAAAGAAGCGCTAAACCATAAGGGCTATACAATACAACTTATAAAGACTATCCCCCTATTAACCCAAGTCATTAATAAACCAGTCTGAGTTTTGCCATTTATATCTTCAATGGACAGTTTTTTCAATGTTTTTAAAAAGAATCAAACCTAACTAGAGTGATCATGAAATTTATTTATTTATTTGTATAGTTATAACCAAGAATAATTTTTAAGGACCCCAATGGAAATAAGTCACGCTGACTTATTTTGGGTTATCTTAGGTAATTTACACAAGTATAACCATGGAAGGCAGCTTAAAACCATCTAAACTTGTTTAATTATGTTAGTTAGTAACTACTACTTAAATAACTTACTTATCTTGTTATTGTTGGGGTTATTAAGGGTCTCTAAAGCTTATGCTCTATTGAGTCCTAAAAGTCATTTTATTTAGGCACAGGTACACATAGGTACAATTATCATACATAGTGTAAATTAACCAGGAAAGAATGCTTCCTCCAGATAAATAAATGGGGATAATAAATATCCAATTAGGTCACGTCAACCCCATTTAATAAAACCCTATACAGAGACACCCCGGTGGCAGTAAGTCACTTTATTTGACTTTTTTGGGCTATTCTAGCTAATTCAAACATATATTTTCACTTGAAAGATAAATGCGATTATCTAAAATGTGTGTAACTACACCTAAATAAACTTACACCCAGACAACTCCCTGAGTCAGCAAGAACAGGCTTTCCTCCAGCCTAGGTGGTGATGTATGTATGATGGAGGTGATGTATGAGGAGAAACGTCTCAAGGAGGAGAAAACAGTGAAAATTAGACACTGAGGCTCAAGGCGCGACGTCTACTCTCCATTAGCGTCTGTGTGGCAGTGAACAGAGAGTACAGTGATCCTTTTAACAATTATATCTATCAAACCTTCTGACCAGCATAAAACATTGGAACAATAAAACATTTAATGTTAGTAAGTCTATTTAGGCAAGTAAGTTTATTCAGGAACAGGTATACATAAATAGCTACATAAATTATCATACACAGCAGCACATGTGTAGATTACCTAGGATTACCCGAAAAAGCCAAAGTGACTTATTTCCACTGGGTCTTTGAGGCACAGGTGCACATAAGTAGAGTTACACAAATTAAGATGATTATAATTATCATGCACAGTAACATGAGTAAATTACTTAAGATAATCCCCCTAGAAATTTAGCTTATTTCCATCAGGGAGGGGGAGGGGGGGGCCTAGTAATATCTCATTCGAAGCTCAGCTTAACTTTATTACTGAATATACAGCAACACGAATTTCATGTATATATATATAGAAATCACAGAAAAATACTCTAGCATATATTGGCGGAATTTTTTCAATGGATTTTACGAAATCTAAGTAATTTATAAGAGGCTCATGAGTTTTTGTTGAATACAAGCCAGAGTTATCCCGGGGCGCTTGAGTCATCATACAGTTTTGGGTAAGATTTTCTTCGTATTTTTCCTCTTGTCTACTGTCTTTGAGCTGCTTGTAAACATTAGCCATTTACAATTGTATATGTAGAGTATATTTCGTTCAGAAGTCACTGCTGGTGTGCAATAAGGGAGCTGAGAATGACATAGCACCAAAAACCGAAGTTATACATCTACATCGGGATGACAGAGATAAAATTATATAGGATTTTGTTGGGATTTTTAACCCGGAGGGTTAGCCACCCAGGATAACCCAAGGAAGTCTGTGCGTCATCGAGAACTGAATGTTTTATTTCCATTGTGGTACTTCAATCTTGTCCCCCAGGATGCCACCCACACCAGTCAACTAACACAGGATATTGCAGCACTAAATGAATTCCAAATTCAAATTCAAATTCAAAGTTTATTCTCTATAAGGATTCCAAAGGGTGAGGAACAGAGTACAGAGACTTATAAAAGAGCAAAGGCAAAAAACTATTGCTCAAAAATTGAAGAGTATAAGCATAACCCCAGAAAGCTCTGGCAACAACTAAAACAGTTGGGTTATAGCCATAAGCCAGTAGATAGGTCTAACATAGTACTCACTATCGATAATGAGGTATGCCATGAAACATCTAAGGTGGCAAATTGCTTTAATTCCTACTACACATCTGTTGCATCAACACTAGTAAGTAAACTACCAGCTGCATCAAATACCTTTAACACAGACTCTGATAAGTTTCAAACATGCTATACCAATAAAGGGGTAACCCCAAACAGTTGTCAACTAGTAAGTGTATCTCATGACTTTATTCAAAAAGAACTAAGCAGGTTAAACCCAACTAAGAGCACAGGCCCTGATAACATCCCGTCTAAGTTCCTAAAAGATGGTGCTTCTGAACTGTCAATCCCTATTGCTCACATAATAAATTTATCAATCACCACTAATACCGTACCGGAGGGGTTCAAGGAGGCCAGAGTTACTCCTATCTTCAAGAAAAATAGTAGGTCTGATGTAAGCAACTATAGGCCTGTTAGTATACTCAGTATAATATCTAAAATTCTGGAGAGGGCGGTGTATTCTCAAGTAGTTAAGTACCTTAATGACAACAGCATTCTCCATAGCTATCAATCGGGCTTTAGAAGATCCTACTCAACCGACACCTCCCTTATTAATCTGATGGATTACCTGAGAACTGAAATGTCAAAGGGGAACCTCATAGGTATGGTAACCTTAGACCTGCAAAAGGCCTTCGATACTGTCAACCACAATATATTATGTAAGAAACTTCAAGCTATCGGTATAGGTTCTGTAGACTGGTTTAAGTCCTACCTTAGCAACAGGAGACAAATAGTCAAAATCAAAAAAACGGAATCAGAACCCCTGCCGATAACATGTGGAGTTCCCCAAGGTAGTATTCTGGGTCCCTTATTATTCTTATGTTATGTCAATGACATGCCTATCAGTGTCAAAGTGCAAACTCCTACTGTATGCAGATGACAGTGCTCTGTTAGTGACAGGTAAAGACCCACAAGATATTGCTAATGTTTTAACACTGGAACTGGAGTCCTGCAGCAAATGGTTAGTAGACAACAAACTATCAAACTATCATTACACCTAGGGAAAACTGAAGCCATTCTCTTTGGCACGAAACATAAACTGAGAAGGGTAAATAATTTTAATGTTCAGTGTAATGGGGAGCCCATCACTTTGGTTTCATCAGTAAAATATTTGGGAATCCCCTTTGACCCATGCATGTCAGGAGAATAAGATAAGATAAGATTTCATTCGGATTTTTAACCCCGGAGGGTTAGCCACCCAGGATAACCCAAGAAAGTCAGTGTGTCATCGAGGACTGTCTAACTTATTTCCATTGGGGTCCTTAATCTTGTCCCCCAGGATGCGACCCACACCAGTCGACTAACACCCAGGTACCTATTTGCTGCTAGGTGAACAGGACAACAGGTGTAAGGAAACGTGTCGAAATGTTTCCACCCGCCGGGAATCGAACCCGGGCCCTCCGTGTGTGAAGCGGAAGCTTTAGCCACCAGGCCACCGGGCCAGTGTAGTAAAGAAAGCGAATGCCAGACTGAAGTTCCTGTATAGACAAGCACAGTGTCTACCTACTGAGGCTCGCAGGACCCTATGTCTAGCCCTTATACAATGCCATATGGATTACGCTTGCTCTTCATGGTATTCTGCCTTGACAAAAAAACTGAAAGATAGACTGCAAATCACCCAGAACAAAATCGTAAGATTCATTCTGGGGCTGGGACCAAGAGAACATGTAGGCCAGGATGAATTACCGCAGTTGGATATGCTGAATGGGTTTAAGACAGAGTAAAACAACTGAAGGGTAAATCATGTTTATAAAATTGCTCACAAACGTGTCCAGAATATCTTGCTGTCAATTTTGTCAAGGTTGGGAACCAAAGCAATCATAGTATAGGGGGAGAGAGCACAACTTTGTAGTACCCACAGTCAGTGGCCAGGCTTCAAACACCTTTTATTATATGCAAAAAGGAATGGACAGACTACCCCCATGTCAAAGCCAGTCATAGCAAAAAACCGTTCAAGAAAAAGTGCCAAAAGGTGTCTGATGAATGTAGCTACAGAAAGGGAGGGGAATGATTTTCTATTTTTTAGCTAACATACGTGTAAATTTTACCTTATTCCTCGTAATGACCCTCGTATTGTAGATAGTCTTAATGACCCTCATGTAGTAGATAGTCTTTTTAGTATGATAATAAGATGTTATCTTCTTTGTAGAATAATAAGAAAATATTATAACCTTTATATTATAATAATAAGGTAAAAGGACCCCAATGGAAATAAGTCACTCTGTCTGACTTTTTTGGGTTATCCTAGGTTCACTACACATATGCTGCTATTTATTATAATTCTATGTAACTGTATTTGTGTATACCTGAATAAACTTACTTACTTACTTACTTATAACACCCAGGTACCTACTTACTGCTAGGTAAACAGGGACAACAGGTGTAAGGAAACATACCCAAATGTTTCCACCCGGGCCGGAAGTTGAACCACGGACACTCAGTGAGTGAGGCAAGAGCGTTGGTAACTAGGCCACGGGACAACTGTGAAGGACCAGGTAATAAGACTGAAGGAGGAAGGTAGCTTAGCAGGAAGTCTGTAAGACATCTATTTCTGCCTCAGAGCTGCTGAAGAGGGCATCAACTGTGCTGAAATATACAGCTCTCTTACCTGCATTTCATTTTTAATATATTGTGATACAATACTTTTTGATACCTGGAGTTTACCTGGAGAGAGTTCCGGGGGTCAACGCCCCCGCGGCCCTGTGATAAGTCACAATTTTTTTACTTTGTCAAACTTTTTGGATTATGCTAGGTAATTTACACATATGTTACTATATATGATAATTGTACTTATGTGGACCTGTACCAAAATAAATTTACTTACTAACATCACATACTGGGATGCATCCTTTAGTGCTAAATTATCATACATTGTTTCCTTATAACTGTTGAGCTACAAATAATCCTACAATATAGTACTAAGCTTCTTTGACTAACCTAATTTCTTTTCTTATTTCACACAGGAATCTGTGAAGGACGATACAATATCAGGGCTTACCGCGTTCATCAGACGGACAGCCCATTTTCCATGTCAGACTTAGCATTTTTAAACAAGTTCAGGATGCCTAAGACAACAGTAATCATCATATTGGAGGAGCTCGACCATATGCCACTCAGATATAATGGTTAGTAATGCTTTTGTAGGAAGGGATGATGTTAAGAAAATGGAAGTACAAAAGAAGTTCATAGTAAAGGGGTTAGTGATGCATCTCAGCATCAAGCAATCTCCAAGACTACATATTTCGTCTATAAATTTGTTCTTTTAGGTAGTAGGTTGGTAGACAGCAACCACCCAGGGAGGTACTACCGTCCTGCCAAGTGAGTGTAAAACGGAAACCTGTAATTGTTTTACATGATGGTAGGATTGCTGGTGTCTTTTGTCTGTCTCATACACATGCAAGATTACAGGTAAGTCTTGCTACTTCTACTTACACTTAGGTCACACTACACATACATGTACAAGCATATATATATACACACCCCTCTGGGTTTTCTTCTATTTTCTTTCTAATTCTTGTTCTTGTTTATTTCCTCTTATCTCCATGGGGAAGTGGAACAGAATTCTTCCTCTGTAAGCCATGTGTGTCGTAAGAGGCGACTAAAATGCCGGGAGCAAGGGGCTAGTAACCCCTTCTCCTGTATATATTACTAAATTTAAAAGGAGAAACTTCAGTTTTTTCTTTTGGGCCACCCCACCTCAGTGGGATACGGCTGGTACGTTGAAAGAAGAAAGAAAATATATATATATACACACCCCTCTGGGTTTTCTTCTATTTTCTTTCTAGTTCTTGTTCTTGTTTATTTCCTCTTATCTCCAT